AGTGGTTCGACGATCCTCAAAACCTCACGATCAGAGGCCTTGCTGCCAGTAGTTTCCCGTCATACCCAGGACGACCAATCGTCAGGCGTACTTTGCTAGGAAATTTGGTTTACTGTATCATTATAGGCATTTTTCTAGCCAAAACCTATCTTATATCTGATAAGTCGACCATTCGTACCAGTAAACATTGCTGCCACAACTGGTCTTGTGATTCTGCTATGTAAATAGAAATACTTGAGAAAATTTTAAAAGAAGAATCTACAATCCTCCCTGGCATTTAGGTTTCAATTATCTTTTCCACCGTAATGAAGTTTCCCTGTGACATTTTTAAAATATTTTCATGGCATTTAGGACGAGCTTTCCTCTTTGGTAATTCTCCTTCCACAATTTAAATTTAGTACTGACTGGCAGCTAGGTCGCGTTTTACTGTTGACATCGTTAGATTTCTATTCTAATAGATTCTTCTCTCACACATTTCGTCTCTGGAACTTTCTTCCGGCTTTTTGCTTTCTGGTCAACTACGATTTTCAAATATTCAAATGTAACTTCAATATTTGCCTTCAGCCTCTTTGAATCGATAAACTTTTTTCAGCTTCTTACACTCTCAGTAACATCTTGTGCCTTAGTGACTTTATATCTTTACTTGGGATGAAATAATTCAAAAAGTCGTTTATCCATTGACTATAAATCTTTTTTATTTTATATATATATATATATATATATATATATATATATATATATATATATATATAATAAAAAGGCTTAAACACTAATATTCCATGGTCATAATTTATTCCATTGGAATCGTAACTACGATCCAATTCATCAGACCTACAAATTCAAAAGGAAAACAGAAAAAAACAACTCCGGGAATAAAAAATAAAATTTAGTGAGAGTGTATGTATGAGAGTGTGGGAAGAATGTTAGAGTAAATGAAAGCTATAGGGAGGGGTAACAGACGAGAGAAGAACAGGAAGGTCTAAAGATGAAGTGGGGTATTAAAATTTAACAGAGAGAAGTTTTAAAGAGGGGAGTCAAAGACTGTTTAAGTGAGAGAAATATGAATATTCTTGGATGTCTAAAATACATTAAAGATATACCGGAAAAGATACATTTTGTGGTGACATACACACACAATAGACGATTTAATCTTAAAGATCAGAACATGAGAGAGGGAGAGGAAAAGAAAAGAAAAAGGGATGGGGAGAGAGATGGGGTGGAGGGAACTAAAACCGAAGGGCATTTATAAAAGGGATGCTGTGTAATCAAGAAAATTTGACAAAAGTAATATCGACTACAGGTTACAAATCAAATATAAACATATAAAAAAAAAAACATAACGATTATCTAATCCAGCAAGGACCTATATTTCTATGTTCAAAAACACATGCGTATACACACATACACACATATATATATATACATACATATACACATATACATACATATACACATACATCCATACACATCCACTTCTACATATGTATACATTTACATACATATATACATACGGACATACGCATACGTGGACATAAACATATATACATAAAGCCTTACATCTCCATACAATTAAATACACCACTATTATTACTAATATATATATATATTATATATATATATATATATATATATATATATATATATATATATAAAGTATATAATTGGTGTATACGGAATGAATTCCAATAACCAACAATTACTATTACTTAAAAGAGTGCTCAATACAAAGTAGAGCAGATATAATTATTTATTTAGAAAATTTATAGCATAAACATGTTATAAAATCACTACAAAAATAGCCATTTTGTTTCGGTGTCTTATCAAGTGAAGTGATGATGTTAAATGCAAAACAAATGGTTTTTGATTTGTTTTGCATTCAATATCATCACTTGATAAGACACTGGGAGTGTTGAAACAAAATGGCTATTTTTGTAGTGATTTTATAACATGTTTATGTTATAAATTTTCTAAATAAATAATTATATATATATATATAATCGACTCTCCCGTCGCGTTCGACGTATGAGGGTCAGGCCGATAAGTCCCCAGGAAACCGACATCCCGACACCGGCACATGAGATTTTGTTTATAGTGGTGAAGGCCTCGTGCAGGACCAGCCACACTTTTTGGAGGGACGAATACAGAAACCTGGTGCACCGAATGCATGCCACAAGGTTCCCAAACGACCCTCCGCAGGTTTTGAATTCAGAGTTCTCCTTCTCCTAGACCAGTTGCCATCCAAGGCTATAGAACCCAGTCTGTCCTGCTATTTTACCCATAGCTGGAGGGAGATGAAGAGGATACATACCTTTCCCAAGGGTATTAGCACGTAAGTGAATGCAATGGATTCGACTGGAATCCGAACTCGGCTCTGCGATTCCTCAATCCAAGCCGCTATCCACTGCTCCACCGTGCCTCCTATTGTATATATATATAGTAATATTAACTTTAATCAAATGGATTTACTGGAAATAAACCTTACATTTAGCAAATGAATGCGTAAGACACGGTTGTGTATTCTCACTGGATGATTTTAACCTTTACAGCGAGACAATGCTAAAAGAAGTAGACTTTCTACCAGGATTTATTATACACTAGCTTAAAAGCCGATCTATCGGGCGACATGTAAGCTAGTTCCTGCGGGGCCTCATGGTTGAGCTTTTGGTTTGTTCAGGGGTTTAAGAGTCTCTACGTCTTTGCATATTCTCAGCATTGGAAGCTCTCCTGGCTGCCGTTTGATCTAGGTTTTCATTTAGGCGATACTTCCTTTTCCTTGCTGCATCTCTGGCTCATGTGATTGCAATCAGGTCCCCTGTTGACGGAGATTTCTTTTTGCGAGTCATACTGTTGCTGTATGCGATAGGTAACAATAAACGAAAGAACTCAGAATTGATCACTGCATTTAACTATTGCATTAATATTTAATATTAGCTTTTAAAAGTTTAACGATAATTCTTCTGCCGCCACTTAATTTAAAGACAATTTGATGTACGTAGGTGCTTATTTTCCATGCAAACAATTATTTTTATTTCATCACTGACTTTCACTGGATTTTACAATTAATTTTGATTATTCCCAAATTCATTTCCAAGTTATAAAAATAGGTATCGTTAAAAAACAATTCGTCGCAAAAATCACGTAAAAAATCGCCAAAAACAATTGCAGTAATGAAAATTTAGCAATCCAAACATTTTGTAACATGAGCTATTGAAAGTTAGAGAGTTGTGTCCCTTTAATTGAAAAAGCGTGACACAGTGGCACACTGGCATTCGCATTTATTATATAGATGGGCACTAGCTTAGCAACATGAGTTAGATGATACCGTTTTGATGGCAACTACAGAAAAAAAAAGACATCAGTAATTCCTAGATAAGGCAAGAAAGAAAATCAGGAGAAAAATATTAATCATCATTTGCAAGAAGACAGAATGAATGATAGGGATCAAGAGAGATAGACCAACAACGATAACTACAAATTAGAGATTTCAAAATCAAGCAAATACAAATGTTTAACAATATGGGAATAATATACGACACAACCGATAATGTAACAGAAATTCAGACGTGTATTGAAATAACGAAATAACTTTCCAAAAACTATGCAATATCAATCATTCTATATGACATTTAAAGTTAGACAATTTCATCACAGACGAAGAGATGACTTTAGTCATTAGTAGCGTAGTCCTATAGAAGGGTAATGAGAATGTCATGGGAGAGCCATGTAAGCAACTAGGAAATGTTAAGGAAAATGAAGACAAAAAGAACACGTATACATAGAGACAGCTGAAATTTGCAGTACACATAAATGAAAGCCTATAAAATTTGACGCACATAGTACATTGAATTTAATTGATTGATTTGTTTCTGACGGCTTCTCAAACTTTTAAAGCAAAATATATTTTTTTAGATTATAAGAATTTACTCGGTAATAGTAATGATTTTACTGATACAAGTCCGACTAATTAACCCATAGCTGGAGAGATAACAGTTTGAATCTGATGTAATGAAATAACCTGTCACCCCCATAAGTGACTACGTATAAGTATCTGTAAGTCAACGGACTGCAGAGTCTACCCGAAATCATATACGGTCGAACTCTCTGCCTCTGAGCAGAGAGCAACCCGGACGAGGATCAGCCGAAGGGCAGAGTCTCGTTCGGGAGGTTGACCAAACCGACCCCGTTATGCGGTTTCTACGGGCATTTTTTTGACCGAGCCTACGGGCTCGGAGAACCTACGTTAAACCCGGCCTTGTGCCACATGCAACCCTGGGGGTGGGGAGCTAAATATTCTAGCTGAAATCTTTTTCAGCTTGCTGGTCGAACTCTCTGCCTCTGAGCAGAGAGACACCCGGACGAGCCTCTGCCGAAGGGCAGAGTCTCGCTCGGGGAGGTAGATTGACCCGATCCCATTTATGCGAGTTCTACGGGGATTTTTTGGCTGAGCCTACGGGTCCGAAGATCCACTTTAAATTCGGTCTTGTGCCACATCTACCCAGGGGTGGAGTAAATATTGTCTAGCTGAAATCTTTTCTGCTATACGTTTGAGAGGAGCCCGGACAAAGCTATGCCGAAGGGCAGAGTCTCGTCCGGGGAGGTAGACAGACCCGAACCCGTTTATACGTGGTTTATGCAGATTGCCCCATATTAAATTCGGCCTTGTGCTACATCCTACCTCGTGGGGAGATTGGTAAATATTACTAGATGGGATCTATTGAGTACGACTCATGCGAGAACTACCGACCTTCCAATAGTAGCACTCACTACTGGATTCACTTGCGACGACCTTGTGCATAACTTTTATTTTATTCGTATTTTACCGTTTTTTACAATAAACTTTTACTTATTTTATCCACCATGTTTTATCAAGTATATATTCCTATTAGCACGGAATATAACAGTCATACATTTCCCCAGCGTATTTGTGCGTAAATGAATATAACACAATTGGAATTGGTTACTCCGATTTCCAGTTCTGAGTCGTTATCCACTATCCAAACGTATTCCCAAGTGGTCACCCGTCTGAGTACAGACCAGGCTCGACGTTGCTTAACTTCGGTTGTTGTACGGAAACCGGTGTTTAAATATAGTATGGTAGCAAGCCAGAAGAAATTTTATCGTCATAAACTTTGTGCTCTTAGCAATAAAAATTAAATATAAATTAATATAATATTTATTAGTCAACGATATACACCTGGAAATATTTATGCTTTAAACGTTATTTAAATTGTGTACAATAGTGCGACAATCATTTCCATATAGGAAATTTTTAAACAAAAAAACAGCAAGATTTAAAAAAAAAATATCAACTAAATATCTTTTATCTGATTATCGTAAAATTCTCAGGGCGTTTTTGTTTGTGAAGTCGTTTTTATTTTTATCTTTCTAAGAAGAGTTCTTGAAAATAATTTTGCTATAGTAATCACACAGTGTTTATTTAATTTATTAAATACTAATAAAGCATCTTTTTGATAATTAAAATATTTTCATTGCTCAGAGTCCCCGGAGAAATTAAATCAGTTTTATCTGAAGCTTCAAAGATGTAGAAAATATGCCCTTAATCTGGAAATAACATGAAAGTATTTTTTTCAAAAATTAAATTTCTTTCATTGTTATTCTCCGTGCACACCAGTGAATTTTTTTTTTAAATTAATGAATAAATTTATTGAAACAAAACAAGTTCAGTTGACCATTGATGACAATTCCAGAACAACGTAACTATAAACAATTATTTTCTAAACTCTGCCAGCCGCAATGATGGAGAAAGCATTACCTCGAACCATGGCCAGTGAGACACGCTGCAAGAGACACTCCGTTTCGCGAGGCTCGTCCCTTAATCGAGACGCAATCGCGCCAATCCTCCGAAGGAACGCCATCGAACGAGGGCCAATAACCACTGAAGTCTCCACTGTCACAGGAGTAGAAAAAAATCTATCAGCAAGAGAAGAATATTTAACTATTTTTTTCATCTTTGCGTCCCGGGCGACGGATCCCGTCTCAACCGCGGACCTGATCAAATTACCTGCCGAAAATGTATCCGCACAGGTCGCATCCCAAATCAACGACTTCCCCATTTTAAAAGGGAAAATGGTAATGCCATCCGGCCGCTTTCCATCAACGTGGTCGAGGCCTACGGGTTCGATTTGGGTTGGGAACCCAGCTGCATCCAAACCTCTTTTGATGATGTCGTTAATGAATTATTATTTTTCTTTAATGATGTGTCCGATATGTGATCATGACTCGCCACAGATTTTTTTTTTCTTTATTCATTTTGAATTTCTATGCGTTCTTGGGAAAAGTGATGGAGTGGTTGCTTCAGTCACAGTTTGAAATTTAGAGTTTTCCTTCTCTGATTGCAAAAAATCTTGTCTGGGTTGTTATTTAACACAGAGTTGGGCAAAGTTGTGACGCCTTTATACCTTTTCAAAGGGTGTTTCAACGAAAATTAACGGAACAAACTAGGCTGGAATATGAACCCTATTAGCTTATTTCTCTTTTTAAAAACCCAAAAATTCATAAAAATAGCAAAATTCAATAAATCACGAAGTAGAAATTATTTTTTATTAAGTTCAAAAAATATGAAATTAGTATTCATGAAAGTTCGTTAAAAATATAAAATTTATCTCTTTCAACTATCTTTGGTAATTTTAGCATACGAGCTTTTCAACACAAAAAGCAGGACGAGTTTGTTTTTGTTTTTGTTTTTTGTTTGTTTTTTTGTTTGTTTGTTTGTTTGTTTTTTGGCTGGGTGGGGATGAGGGATATTGTTTTTGCTTTGTTTTGCTTTATTTTTCGTTTTGGGCTTTACGTTTGTTATTTTTTGACAATTTTTAAAACATTTTTCCATTTCAAATTTTCTCATGAGGCGCAATCAAATTTATGCAGTTCAGTCTTGTACTAATTGTATTAATTTTGGATGATATAAAAAGCTTTTAAGTGATCAACTATTAAGTCTAAAAACTTTTAAGTGCTCAAATCTTTGACAACTAACTGCTATTTTATGTCAACTGAAATTAAAATTTCAAAGATATCTAAATTAATGTACTATGTTTCTGAAATTGAAAATTTACTGCAAATTAACTGAGAATTACTAAATAATAACTAGACGAGATATCGACAGGCATGAACAAGTGAGAAAAGAGTCTACACCAGTAAATTAAATAAAGTGTTCAGTTCGAAATTTCATAAAAGATACCTGGATCCCACATAAATCTGATGAAGGACTAGGGTCACAAGGGCCGAAACGTTGTGATAATAATAAAAATGGTGACAATAGTCAGCATGTTAATAATGTAAGTAACAACTCTTAATCCTATAAATCTCGACAGAAACATTTGAAGAAGTCCCTTAAGACAACTATTAATGACGAGCTTTTATACCTTTGACGTCAAATCAACGATAAAATACTGTTTATTTATCTTTGGTTTTGTATTTTTCGACGAACAGTGGCCGTTAAAAATTAAGTATAACTCAAGACTTCAATGTTAGGATAAAACAGTATTTAATTACAACTTCGAATAAAATACTTAACAAGAACAAAGTAAAAGTCAACCAAACATAATTAATTATTTCAGTGAATACCTTGTTAGTAGCGCGGTTCGGATTAACATCCGGTAAATTTTAAATCAAAACCCAAATCATCGACGCACAATAATTCACACTAATTCGACTGGATAGTTCCACTCAATAGTCACGACAGTCAGTAGCCTGACACCGCTATTTATACACCTGGCGAAAAACATATATTCATTGTTGGAGTTTTTGGGTAGCTAGTACTAGTGAACCAGCCAAAATGAACTCATTTTATAGTTCACCAATAGAAGGGTTAACCAATCAGAAGGCTCAGAATATTCAATGCGACGTGTATAAAGGCGGCCATGTTTTTTTTTTGTTTTTTTTCTGATATCGAAGACTGAAGAATTACGGAACCGCTGCTGGTGAGTGTTAATCTTTAACGTTGTTTCATTGAACAGATTACGTACTGCGCTGTATTCTATTTTCATAGACTTGGCGAACATGGTTAACATTCATATATTCAGAGTGCCACTGTCGAACCTTCCGCTGCGATCTCTTTCATTCAAATGCGAGGGATATGAATCCAGTCCTTCTCCCTCCAGCTGGGTGTTAAATTTTGTTTTCTAGCCTTGGTAGTCAGCCATTCTAGGTTTAGGAAATCTCTAAATTGTCAAACTGTAAAAAAGTCAAAAGGAAAATACCCCATTGTATTTTCCAAGACGGCATGGCAATAATAATAATAATTATTATTATTATTATTATTATTATTATTATTATTAATTTCTGGTGTGTACACATTTCTTTCCGGGTACCACCCAAAGACCTAAGATCAGAAAGGGTGTCATGACATTTTCCACTGACCAATTAAAAAAAAACGTAATTATTATTATTATTATTATTATTATTATTATTTGTGTAGGTTATGTTGCCTGTTTTGCATTCTGTAGAGCCGGGTCCAAACTAGGGTTTTTAGGCCCTATAGGAGTGTTGTTATTTAATTTACAGCATTTTTCGTAGTATATGGGATGTTCCTACTAGACCGATCTACTGGGCAACTTGTATGTTACCTGGGACACTGTTAGTAAAATTGTCCATACTTTTTCTCGTGAGGCCCAGAGCTCCGATAACTATTGGTACAGTCTCAGTCTTCATTCCACACATCCCGTTTATCTTGATCTCCAGGTCCTTGTATTTGGACACATTCTCGATAATTTTCATGTAGTTTGTCTTTATTATTATTATTATTATTATTATTATTATTATTATTATTATATGTATCGTGCCCCTTCAGGGCGTTGGCGACCATTGCTCTCCACAATTTCTTGTCCTTTGTAAATGTTAGTAAATTTGATCGTTTTGTTATCTCTCCTCTATTCTGCCAACCATTTCACAAACTCATTAGGTATGTTATGCGCTGTTTTACCCTGTTTCTCATGCCGTCAATGCCCTGTGATTTTCAAATTTTCCAAGCCTTCTTTCCTCATTATGTGCCCTAAAAATTTCATCTATCTCTTTCTGTTAATACGCATAAGCGTCCTTTTTGTTTACATATCTATAAAACTTCGTCTTTCCTCCCGTGTTCAATCCATGATATTCTCAACATCCTTCTGTAGAACAACATTTCAGTTTTCAGTTACCCAAAGTATCTTCTTCATTCGTAATGAAATGGTCTTCTCTGAAGGAAGAAGAAAACACTAAATTCAAAACGATGTAGGACAGCAGAAAATCACTTCAATAACTTTCTTTCCCAAGAAGTCATTGCAATTCACAGATGAATAAAAAGAAATGGATGCTGTCGAGTGCTATGAATACCTATTTCTAGAAGATGGTAGTTGATAAATCACTTATTGTACTTCAGATTTCGTGCCCATCGATTTAGTTCATACGTGTATAGTATCAATATTTTTTCTTTAAAAATACTGACCAACATGAATAATGTTTTCTTTTTAATATATTCCTTCAAGGTATGAACGTTATAATGATTTTTGGGAGTTATTTACCGCTCTAACGAATCGTTTTCATAGCGTTATTATTTTCCAACCCATCATACTATTATGCAATTCTTACAGATATCTCAGCGTAAGGATCATTTATCAAAGTATAGGAGAAATGCACGGTGGTAAGATAGCGGCTTGGATTGAGGAATTGGAGAGCCGAGTTCGAATTCCAGTCGAATCCATTACATTCAATTACGTGCTAATAAACTTGGGAAAGGTATGAATCTTCTTCTTCTTCCCCCTATGGCAGGATAGACCGGCTTCTAGTATCTATTGCAGAAAGAAATGGCAACCTACTGCGGGAAAAAAATCTGCCTCGTCAGTCATGTATCCAAAGATACTTGACCGCCTAAGCTTGTATCATACATATCATACATAACTGACTGATAGGAGAAAAGGAAATTGAACATAGAATAGGCTACGCCAGAGATGAATTCGCCCAACACCGCAAATTCCTACAAAAAAAGACATCAACCTGAAAAGTTGTCGTGTTCTAAAATAGCCTTATCTGACTTTCATATGCATGATGTCAAAGCCATTCAGAATTATCTAAACTGCCAGCTGTGTACATTCTAAGAGCAATGGTTA